TTTTGTTCTAAGTGCTGCAAAGTGCTGAGTCTGCATTACTAATCCGTGCAACTCATGATTCTGTTCAAAAATTTTATTTAATCCTTGAAGGTTATAAATGATCTTGCTCAAGAGTTTAATTAGTGTCACCACGTCTGCAGTAAAATAAGAGTGATCTAATTTCGAGCACAGTTTCTATCCACATCGCAACGGCCTGCAATGTGCGTCCAGATTCCAAGAAATCCTCAAGAAGACGCTCTGCTGCTAGAGTTGAAATTCGCTACGCTGAAGCATTCTATGCAAAACTTGTTTATCACTACAGCCCGTTTGACAAGAATTTAAAAGCAAGTAAAATGACTGAAATTTCCCCATTTCTTACGAGATTAAAGGGTTCGGGGTCCAGCTCCATCATCAGTTCAAAAACCTAGAACAGATGTACAAACAATTCACATTGAAGATACTAAAGCATTAATTTTCTAAAATAATAATTAAAGTGAAGTAAATATGAGCAGACAAACCTATTTATTTATAATTTCGTGGGAATATGAATAGGTATTTAGAGAAAAAACTTTCAAAACCTTAGCCATAGTCTCAGAAGCAGGACCAAAATATGGAAATAATCAATATAAAGCATTCCTACTGACACATTTGGGAACAACCTCAGAATATTGCTTAGACAAAAATTTATTAATTTTAGTACAATCCAATTGGGACGGATATACATTTAGTGAAAAGGTACTGCGGAAAAATTCAAGTTCAGAGTGCATTGCATGGAAAGGAGAGCAACTACGAAAGCCTCGGTTTATTAACGTTTGAATTCCAGAACAGATCTCTGAAAACGGACATTCGATTTTGTAACATTACAATCAAGAAAAGATAAACTATTGTTGGATTCAAGCTCCATGGTAAATTTGATGGTATTGTGTTGGAGATTAAGACAATCAAAGAAAAAGCCTAAATGAGAGGGATGATTGAAAATTAAAAAAGTGTCATCGAGATATCGGTTATAGAATAGTGGCTTAAAATCAAGAGGACAATAATTATTAGCCAGCCGTGTAGCCTCGTGAAAAGACATGAAAATATTAGTAAAAGTAGGGTCGAGTGGAAGACCCATGCCCAAACCATAAATTTGTGGAATTAATAAAAAATGGCACACTCTCTCTCCAATTACCGCACAATTAAAATGCGGGTGCTTTAACTGAGTAAACGAAGGCGAACTAATAGTTTCTTACATGTTCAGCATATTTCATATTTCAGCTGCATACCAACCTAATATTAATTTTGATGAATATTTACCATAAAACGAGCATATTTATTTTTGTAACTTATCTAGTTTTGGGCAGGACAGAGAAGCGGAATTGCGGATGAACCTCTATCGAGAGTGCAGTATTTCATTTTAGTTATCAATATAATATTTTTTATGGACAAAGAAGAAAACTATCAGAGGGATAACTGGAAAGAAATTCCCTATGCGTTCCTGTTTATTTTGGTGGAATCCTGCCTTGTAATATTATCGGTGACTGTGTCTGTCCAAGGTACTAGCAAATCAACGTTAAACATCGAGTGTTCTGCGGGTGATACATTGATATGTGCCTTAAAAAAAATCATGCAACCTGGAAATGTTCAAACAAAAAGTGAGCGCGTTGTTATTGTTCTAACCAACAGCAACCATTACTACAGGGTGCGCCACAGAAACTTACTTATTTGAAAAAATTCCTGTGCGATTAGTTGATCGGGTAGAGGGGCGAGAGGGGGTGCATCTGAAGGGGAAAGTTCCCAAGTTTGTTTCTCAAAGTTTCTCAAATAAATTTGCTTTAGTGCAAGAATTAACTGAACGCGATTTTGTTGCCCCTCAAAATGCATGTAAAATGCTGGTTGACAACCTGCCTGAAGACGCGGTCGTTTTTTTCAGTGGCGAGGCTCACTTCCACATTTCCGGCTGCGTTAACAAGCTAAACATGCGTTATTGGTGTGGTGTAAATCCACGTAAGTTTCACCAGAAGCCACTTAACTGTGAGCGAGTTACTGTCTGGTGTGCGACGTCGGTAATGGGAATAATTGGTCCTTATTTTTTTAAGAAAACGAACGCGCAGTTACCGTTAATGGAGCTCGTTACAGGAACATGATCGAGGAACTTTTTCTTCCAAGACTCGAAGAAATGAACTTTAGGAATGGATATTTGAAATTTCTGGTTTATGTCGATCGACCACGGACCATAGCACACCTCAAGAACAACATTCGCGACGTCATTGCCAAAATACCGATTGATATGCTGCATAGAGTGGAAACCATTATGAAAAAAGCGACTTCGTTAGTTTATGCGCAATGGAGGCCGTCATTTATGATATTTAATTTTCAAAACTGTACGAAAAAAAATTGGGATACTGTTTTCTCGAATAAAAAAAAATTTAAAACAATAACTGAAGTACTTTTGTTTTTATTGACCTTTCAAATAAGTAAGTTTCTGTGGCGCACCCTGTACTTACCCTTTAAGCTGAATAACTCAGAAAACTCAAAACGGCCCATGACAAGTGTTTGGCAGTCATCCACTTGGTATTGTTAATACAGACATACAGTATATGCGCATGAATTGAAGTTTACTGCGGGACAATTATTGTGTAGTTTGGACGGATTTATTATGTAGTTTGGACGGACACCTAGCGTTAAAATCGCCCGAAGCGAGACCACCTAGAGTCCATGACGATCTGGTGTGAGGAAGAGGGTTGCTAATGGTCTTGGGATTTAGAAGTTACAAACGGCCATACATCTTCTAATTAATTAGTCTAAATAGGAATTACATAGGTTGAGGTTAAAGAATATGAAGATTATGGAGAAGAATGATGCCGCCGACCAACACTTGAGTGCAGGAGGGTTGTTAGAACAAAGACATGACACGAACAAGATGGAAAACCACAATATCAAAGAATATTGGAAATAAGAATGGTAATCAGTTATCATAAGGTGGTACATATATTTAATCACAATTATCTGAATTTAATGAGAAAGGTTAACTTTGCAGGTTACCCCATGTTAGTTGTTCACATCAAGATACGGCCAGAAAAAAAATACTCTAAGGCATGACTGGCTAATGTTGCCTGCCGGCGCACTCTAAAAAGAATTTGCAATTTTGAATGACCCTATTAGAACGTAATTTGATTTTGTCGTAAACTGGATTGTATTATTCATAAGTTAGACGGATATTGTTCATGCTTCAAAATTGGATACTAATTTTGATTTATTATACAATTGAATAATAGTGAACATTGAACTGTATAGTTGAACTTTAGCTAACACGGTTACATGAAGCTACGAAAATGGTGTTCAAAGGGCTTGGGGATTTGATAAAATAATTATGACGTTTATAAGAAATGATAGTGCGAGTTATGAATACGAGTCACTACAGGTGTCACTGTCATCTGACAGGAAAATAAATTGAGCATACGTGATATGTAGTAAAGCATTAATTGTTAAACAATCGCGGGAATTGAAACAAATTAACATGGTGGGCAGACGATGACAATACTTGAGTTACAACAATACTCCTCTACTGATTGACTCATAGTACGATATATTCCTATTATAACTAATTCCAATACAGTGGATAATTCAATAAATTTACCTTACCGAATCTTAGGAATGAAAGTTACGATCCGAGAACAACTGTGATAAGGAAAAACTAATGATTAATCATAAAGGCACATTGAAAAATTTAGTGCCCAATTCGAATTGATTCATGGTTACTTTCATAATTTCCTTTTAAGGAGCACTTCTGGGTCCCCGCCGGAAGCAAAAAAATATTAAGTGAGTTTTTAAGGTGTGGAGCTGTTGGCTCGGTGCAATGTTATGCTTCAAGGTTTTTCACTTAGCTATGTTATTTTATGGATATGTTGCAAAAATTTTACCTGAACTTTTCAGGTTGATCATCTTCAACTAGTTTTCTGACATCAACTGTAATGCCGACGCACGCTTCTGTTGCCACCAATTTTAGATGCGGTTCGACCCCGAACGCTGCAGGATATGCAGGTGCATACTGCAGCCACCTCTAGGGCTCCAGCTGCAACGTGGAAGGCTACGTGGCATGACGATGCCAGCACGCGCTGCAACAGCTGCTTGACACCGTCGGTACGTGGCATGACGATGCCGGCACCCGCTGCAACAGCTGCTTGACACCGTCGGTACGTGGCATGACGATGCCGGCAGGCGCTGCAACAGCTGCTTGACACCGTCGGTACGTGGCATGACGATGCCGGCACATAAACTGCAGCAGCCATCAGTCGCTGCGTCAGTACAACTGCGGAAAATTTTCAAAGCCCTCGTGGTCCTTTAATTTGAAATTTGAATGTAAATATTAACTTTAATTATTATTTAGTAGAATAATAATTACCTACTAAATTTGTAATTGGAGTGTTAATTATAAAAGTTGCCGAATATTCCGAGTGATTGGCGACCAGAGACTGGAGCGATATAGTGTTGGTCATTTCTCCAAACTGAGTTAGCCATTAAGACATCTAGGTCGGCGCTACAGAACGAATCGTTAATAAAGGATGATTGAGAATATCAATTGAAAATTCGATTTGAAGTGATATGCTGAAAGAAACGACCGAGTTCCATAATTTATTCAACGCAATGTAGTTTGGATAATCACAATGGATATATACTGAGAAAAATTGTGTGGGGTTTAAATTTTTTTTCGAAGCGGGTAACATGCATGATATTTGTTGGTGAATCATCGTGACATTCATGTTCCTTATTGTCGGCACTCATTGGTTGGTCTAATGGTTATTATTACCGACGTTACATAGAAAAACATTTTTTACCATAAACAAGGTTATTATGGTTTAAATTAATTATTAGCTAGAATCTAGAATTCATTTGTAAATGAATGGGCCAATTAGGCGACACGTCTCTTGCCTCAAGAGCGCCGCTCTCTTCGTTCCGAGAGCGGCCGTTCAGCAGTCGGTGGGCATCGGCAGTCACTCATGACTAAAGTCGGCTGAGCTGCCAGTGCTGATGGTGAGGTGCTTGTGGTAGGTGGTGTAAAAACGAGCTGCCGTTCAGTAAACTTTACCTATCTTTGGTCATGTAATTACCGAGGCGATGATCGGCGTTCCTATACAGGAGCTGCTTCTTTTTACGTTTCCAGTCATCTTGTCTCTGATTACCCAAGGTAAACTTTCATATGACTAGTGCAAGGCATGAAACTAACTTAATTCACATTTTTGTGTTATTCTGAACTAAGTATAGATATATCCTGGCTTTTAAAGCAGCAAAGCTCTACTGAAACGACACAAGCACAATAGGCATGCGCGATAGCTCTGTCCGCGATTCATACACAAGATATACTATGCGGGCTCGTTTCTATATTTGTCATGCTTGACTATAATATTCTTGCAACTTAATCTGTACATATGTTTAAGCATGTTATTTTTATAATTCACTATTCTCAGTACTGGGTTTCCAATTTCCATTAATCATTTGAGCTAATAAACGTATGAATTTCTTATGTCCCAGACAATGCGACAGCATGTCTCATATGTCAAATGATTACCTGTAGGTATATATAACACACCAAACTTTTGTATACCTAAAATACGACCGATCTAATTCCTTTGAGCATCCATAGCTAACGCTTCACTTCAGAAGCACGAATCACGTGACGATTCCTGCTAATTTTACTTGCATCTTACTAGATTCGGCCATATTTTGCTTTGTGTCATATGTGTTGCTTATACCGTGTTCAACTAGTGGCCCTTGACTTTTGCCATTCATAGATCTTGCGCAAAAGGTGATCATAATTAGGTGTTATAATTCTGATATAACCTAAATTAACGAACCTAACCTAACAGCCTGAGTCTATCTATCATACCCTCAATAAACCTGATGTACTGGGAATAGTTTCGTGTTGAATAATTCGCTCATCTGCAGACTGTAGTTGTGTTTGGACGCAGTTCAAGATGAATTTATATTGAGTAGGTATATCTTTACAGCATGTCATTTAGGATTATGCAAGTGAAATCGATGTCATCAGATGATATTCAACTTATTGTACCTACGTGTAGAGTCATATATGGTTCTGCATCAAGAAAAGTTTGAAAATAACAGGTTTTAACTGCCCTTCATCAGGTAGGAGTGCGGTCGATGTTATTTTTATCGACTTCTAAATACGTAGGTCAATAGTACTTAGCGTACCGCATAACTAAGTTTACTAATAGAAATCGACTTAGAAGTACGGTCTATGATACTCTTATTGCGCACTAAGTTATAGCACTTATTATTACATTATTATAAAGAGATTAGGTTAAGATGTGATGGGTCTCAAGCGGTTGATCCTTCTCATTGCGAAGAGGCTCAATTCTCGTGGAGCTCATGTGGTGACATAGTTTGGATTCGTTACAAGAGTACGCCTTTTTATAATGCGCTATCATTTTCTCATTACAAAGTAGAGTTTCTTATTACGAAGTTCAGTTGTCATTAAGGATTATTGTTTTTATTGGCCTATTAGCCGAAACAGTTTCTTTTCTCGAAGCGCCTTCTACTGTTAAGCAATAAACGTTAACATTACGAAGGAATTATTTTTCTACGAATTTCTCGTTAGCCTTAGGAATTAATCAAGTGGAACATATAAACACATCTTCGTATTTCGAAACAGGAATTAATTTTCAGAAAGAAATGTTTGAATGGCGTTAATTGTGCAAAGAATACCTACTCATCCATAGAGCGAAAGTTGCATGTGTGATGAACTGGCTTGCTGAACACATTTTGAGCGTGGTTCTATTTGAGTGCGACTTTTTTATATCTATATAAATTATATCACGATATTAAGATTGACCTCATTTCATTGTTTAAATTATTTTAAGAATGTGGACACCATATTTGCCAATGCTGTGCTGACTTACAAATTAAAATTATCAGCGTTACCATGAATTGATATATGAATGAGAGAGGGTTCGTCATTTACTTTTTTCTCACGCCAAATAGAAGGTGTTTAAGGAGAGATTACAGCATTAGATGCCTCGTACATGTTGACTTCGAAAATGAAAAAAAAATCAAGATGTAACTACACAAAATTCATTCATCACAGTGACAAAACGTAAAATCTGAATAATGATCATAGGGTGAGAATATAATTCTTTTCTCTGGGACAATAAAATGCAAGTTTTGTACCTTCCATCAGGTTTGCCTGGGGTTGCCCGGAATTTATAATCATTACAATTTTAGAATGCTGAATCGCGACGTACCGATCATCGTTAAGGCTAATCCCGTTGAAAATAATTAATCTATTGTATGCTACTTGATGAAAGACCCGTACGTGAAAACCCACATTTTACATGGAACATATAACTCCTTTTTCTCTATATATTTTAAATTCATTTCGAAAAATGTGCGTCATTTGAATTGAATATAAATACTAATTCGCAATTTTTTTGTCCGATTGTTTCCTCCCAATTTGAAATACCTTACTGTTCCTTCACTTAGATGATATTTTCTGGTTAAGTGACATGTTTTCTCGTAACTCATAAACACACACAAACATCGAACAATATATGTAAATTTGTCAAACGTCATATATATTTTGGCATCCTGCTGAACGATTTTCACAGATGCATTGAGTATTTAAATAGCTCAGCGCAGTCATGATCAAAAGTAATCGGGTTCATGAGTGGCAAGACAAAAATAAGACACCACATATCAATAGCAAAAATTAAGAAAATGTATGAATTATCAGACATTTAAAAGATCTTTTCGTGCTGTTGGATTATGTAAATAAGTTAAACACGTGAACAACATAAGTTATTTTCATATATCAATATTAGGACTTCGGGTGAAAAAATTCCTGGCGATCTACGCCGCTACTTACAAACAATTTATAATATCGTGTTGAGCTATAAACTACTTGTGTCGTATCGTATTTGAAAACGTGCAAAATGTTCTTTTTTGTGCGTGCCTTATAAACATTACATATTAATTACTCAAATTGAGTGCAGTTTTTCTTTCTCTACAATTAGGTTGAATACCACTTAACATGAATGTTTCGTGTTCACGTTGGTAAATAATGAATCGATGCTGCACTGTTGCAATGTTGCATGTTGGTTCCTAGTGCAACACGTAGCCCGTGTCGAGGCAGTGTGGACGGAGGAGGATGTGCTAATAGATGCAGGGCTTTGAGCAGCCTGTTCCGGTAGGCTCTTATATGATCTCGAGAGCGTCGTCCATCCGGAGACCATACTTGCTTTCTGCCATACAGACAACTTTCTGACCCAGCAAATGCTGGTAAAATGCATTTAAAAGAAATTTTATTCGTATACACAAGTTTATTGTCATGTCTCACCGGAAGCCTTGGATTGGGTGAAGTGGTGGCACATTAGGACGCATTAATAGCTAGTAAATGAATTCGATTTTGCCAGTGTACATTTTGAGAGTTAGATGTAAATTTTAGAATACCGTACTTACTTTCAAACGACAGTAACTTATAAACTACCTATTTAGTTTGTTAAGTTGGCTCTGGTCTTGAGACACTAGCATTCATTAATTTAACTGGCCTCAAGCACAATTTACTCAAATGCTGAGACTGTTAAGATTATAATCAATAAAAAAGTAAAGATTCTCCCTTTTAAATTGCGGCAACTGTGACAAAAGCTAATCAATCTAAATTCATTTGTAGGGCTTTAGACGATGATTTATTTACTGCCAACTGATATTTCTTAGCGACTGTCACACCTGTTATATAATTTGTTTGCTCCTGCTATGAAGACAAATATTAAATTTCTCCTGGAATACAGTACGTGTTACATAACGACAATCCAAAGCTATTAGCATTTGTGACGTTCAAGAAGTCTGCCCATAGTTCGGCCTTGATCTGTCTCATGTCCTCATGTCAATGTGGTTCAAGTCCCCAATCAGTGACTTTCAACGCCTGTTAAATACGATCGATTGAAAATTTGTGATCATTGAAGTCGACTCAGAGAGGACACGAAGCTGTAGGCAAAGAGTCCGTCCTATCGTTGTTGTTGCTTCGAATTAACATCGTATTCTCTGTGTCCTAGATAATCAAGGTAGTTCAAAGATGCCGTATTAATATTTAGTTTTGTTGGTAATACTGTACTCTTTATTCAAAAACTCAATATTTAACGTTGTTCTATTGCATATTACACGCTAAATTTTTCCTGAATATTACTGTTTATTGTTTAATATGAGAAATTCGTTTCTTCGAAAAACTATAATCTTCAAATTTCTTATAAAATATGCATGAAGTTGTTTTGTGGAGGCTGCAGTATACACGATACGAAATGTATTGGCGCAGGTTTTCGAGAAATTCATTTATTTAATTGTGCAATGCATTCATTACGAAATAAATTTAGTGAAATTAAATGATTTGAAGGCAATAATTTTTAAACTAGGAGCTCAATTGGAGCTCAATTTTTGGATGCATGAATCAAAGAGGCGAGCTTGAAAAAATTGATCGAATTGATAGAAATGACAAATGCATACGAACCCCTCACTATAAAATTAAGCGCTTCACTTTCGTTTCATTTGCATGCATTATGACTTTTGGATCGAATTTAACTATATTCTTGGAAGCATCAAATGAAATTAAATTGTTGCAAATTGGCGTAATTACTCATGATGCTTGCATTATGAGTAGGTACCTATGTTGTAATCGAGAGCTATAAAAAGAAGAACAAAAATAGCTTTGTTTTTATCGAAAGAAAAAGATCAAAATAAAAAGTATTTGCGCCTGAAAATGTCACACGTAGGAAACGCAGGCACGGAGTTGTTAGGCAAAGCCCAAATAAAATTGGCAAATAAAGCTCCTACTTGAGTAAATTGACAAGAATCAGCCATTTTGTGCATGAATGAGTGACAGCACACATGTACGTGCGTTATAAAGACAGGCTCGTAATAGTTAGTTGAACTGGAGATGCCTTCAAGACCTGAATCTCTCACACATTTATTACAATACTAGACAATGTCTACAGTGAGTGACATGCATCTTAATCTCATCTCGCTATTTATTCTCTTAATCTATAATCTTTTATAAAATCATGCACGGAAATGTTAAACTAGTCGGAGTTATAATTGGGACATGAAGTTGCCATAAACTTATAAAGGAACTTGATTTATAATTGTGACATGAAGCTGCCATAAACTTATTAAGGAACTTGATTTATAATTGGGACATGAAGCTACCGTAAACTTATTTAGGAACTTGATTTATAATTGGGACATGAAGCTACCATAAACTTATTTAGGAAATTGATTTATAATTGGGACATGAAGCTACGATAAACTTATTTAAATTATGAACTAGATTTACAATTGGGACATGAAGCTGCCATAAACTTATTTAGGAACTTGATTTATAATTGGTACCTACATGTAGCTGCCATAATAACTACATAACTTGATTTATAATTGGGACATTAAGCTACCATAAACTTATTAAAGAACCAGATTTATAATTGTGACATGAAGCTGCCATAAACTTATTAAGGAACCGGCCATTTTCTACATGAATGAATGATAGCGTACAAGTTCGCGTGATGCAGGCAGGCACGGAGTATCTCAAGGAGTTCTTATTGAGACAAACTTGAGTTATTATTGTTGAAAATAAAAGCTACCATAAATATATCTAAGAACAAGACTTTTTCCACATGAATGAATGGCAGCGCACAAGTTCGCGTGATGTAGGCAGGCACGGAGTATCTCATGGAGTTCTTATTTTGACGAACTTGAGTTATAATTGTTGAGAACAAAACCTACCATAAATATATTTAAGAAGAAGACATTTTCCACATGAATGAATGTCAGCGCACATGTACGCGTGAGGCAGGCAGGCACGCAGCAGTGCGCAGAGCTCCATCAGCAGCAGATCTGTGGGCGTCGTTGGTGGTGCACGGTGCTGGTCTCTCCCAGTGATGGCAATCGATATGAGAGCGCACTCGGGCATAGCGCTCTTTTTCTTCTTCTCTTCCTCTCCCTTGTCTTCTTAATCTCATCTCACTATCGATTCTCTTAATATAATGTTTCATCATAACAATTCGTGTGCTTTGTTCCTCCTTTCTCCTTCATTCTTATTTCTTGAATGAGAAGGATTCCTTCTTCTCTTCCTCTCCCTTGTCTTCTTAATCTCATCTCACTATCGATTTTTTTAATCTAATGTTTCATCATAACCTCGTGTTCTTTGTTCATTCTTTCTGCTTCATTCTTATTTTTCATCTTATCACTCAAATTTAACTTGCATGTGAGTTTTTTTTCCCTCTTTCTTCTCATTCTCATTTTTCCTGATTACATTCTATATTTTATTTTTTATTATTAAACTTTTTTATATTTATCTTTTTGCTTTCCCTTTATCACTCCATCTCCCTAGCTTCTGTGTATTTTTCCTCTTGTTTCCCTTAATAATTTTTCTATTACTCTACATATATTTCTTCAACTCTAGTTTTCGCTTGTTTAGTCACTCTTACTCACGGTACATCACTCCTAATAATAGACATTGACTCAAAAAATATTTTTCCTTCTATCTTCAGCATCTTTGTACTGATTCATCGAAATTTACACGTCCAGTAGCACTACCCCCACTTCCATGCTATAAAACACTTAAAATACATACTTACTCACACGGTCCGTATTTATTATTTTTCTTTTAAATTTACCTGCCATTATTTGCGGGCATTGAGTTTAGTCGTTCATAATACCAGCAAATATTACTTTGTTCAAAACTGTTGATAGTGAAAGTATATCAGCGTATTATTGAGGTATACCATATTTTATGTCACGTTAATAATTAGTTTATCGTATATTTTCATTACTGAATATATTGTAATTACATGGGTTGCATGCAGGCGTTTGCTTGGAAGAGTGGGTGGCAGGCGTCCACACGGCAGGCTTTGGGTCGTCACCTAAGCACGACATCAAGAGGGTGCTCGCCGTCGACGACCTGCGAGGTCAGTTATCTCTGGAAGGCTTGCACGCGAGCAGAATTCTTTGCACCTATTTGATAGTATATCAAGAACAGCTCAAAAATTATCGCTTTTATCAGGAGATTTGAATTGGTTAAAATTCTTTTTAGTTGTATTAATAAATTCAGCAGAGACCAATCCAAATTTAACTCCGTTCAAGTATATATATAATTTCACGCATATCTTGATGAATGTTTTATTGTTTTTTAAGGTCATGGAAGTTTAGAAGCTATAAAAATATTAATAATATCTTTTATTTAGTAGTTCACTTGAATTTTTAAAACGTTTAATTTGGGCTCAAACTTGTTACATGTGCTACCATGCAAACTACTCTATACAGACAAATGTTGTACAAATCGTTGCTTGCATTTGCCGCAACAGATAAGATTGCTTATACCGTTACATCATCGTAACGAGGAACAAAAATTTATAACCGAGCCTAAAGCCTTATCGAAGTCTCATCATTCTTATTGCCATTTATCTAAACGTTCGAGTGGTTCTGGACTCTTGCAAAAAATGACAAAACAAAAAATAGACTGAATGAGATTTTGACTACATGTCATTTGACAAAATTACGTTTGACAAAATGGCATTTGACAAAATGAGATTTGACAAAATTACATTTGACAAAATGACATTTGACAAAATGAGATTTGACAAAATTACATTTGACAAAATTACATTTGACAAAATTACATTTGACAAAATGACATTTGACAAAATGAGATTTGTGCGTGTGAACAGCCGCATATTCGCGTGGCTGTTAAGTCCGAGAACCTTTTATCGGATCAATGATATGACCTTAGATCAAGCTGACTTTGATGACTTTGACCTTATGCATATGATGATCAACTTGGCGGATGTCAATCCACTTGAAATATGTCCCTTGAGTATTATTGTCTTAGTAACTGCTTTGATGGCACTTAATTTTCCGCTTCATGCAATTTTTTCTTAGCTAAATAAAATTTTACCAGTCTTTTAAGCCTCTGTTTTATTAGAGTTTATATTGGGATTGGTCTTATATATGCAGTACATAACGTAAAAAAATTGGGCCTTCATGATTTCTGAACGGGACCAGCGATGTGACGTGTTTTGAATTTTTATTGTACGCTTTTGTCAGTTTCAGCCTACTACTGAATCACACATAGACCTACATACGGTACCTGTATTATAATTATTTTAAGATTTCCCTTTTTCCTTTGAAATTTTTAATGCGACCATCACGATTCATTTCTTGCGGCACATAAATTATAACTTCTGTGATTATAACTTACCGTAGATTTTCCACTAGTGAGTATAAATTAACTACAGTATAATTTGTTTTAACATGTCTCTGTCCCCGTGGGTTATGTATTATTTTATTTATAACCTGTATTATTCTGACTTACTGCGGACTATCAACAAGTGAGTATAAATTGATTACAGTAATTTGTTTTAACATGCCTCTTTCCCCATGGGCTATGTATTATTTTAATTACTATATCCTGTATTAGTATTATTATGACTTACTGAGGATTTTCCACAAGTGAGGATAAATTAGTCACAGTAATTTGTTTTAACATGTCTCTTTCCCCGTGTGCTACGGCCTACGCAGACTGCCACTGTCCCCCCAGCACGCTGGTATGCGCAGGCCCTGGCGGAGGATGTCTTTGTATTCACCGACACCAGCGCTGCGACGGTCACTGGGACTGTACCTACGGGGAGGACGAACAGCGATGCGCTAAAGCTCCTTGTTCCGGTCAGCCTTCTGCCGTTGGAAGCTTAGACTGTTGTTCAGTATGTTCTCTTATTGTGGAATTTACTTTCAAAACTACTTCCGAGTTGGTAGTTCCGTCAGCCAAATCACTGGCTTTAAAAATTCATTGCAAATTCACTAATAACTGACAAGGAATCGGCCTATTCGTATACCTACGCAAGTTTTAATATTACGGAACCCGGCCAGCATGAACCTATCGGTCCTTGAACAAATGTTCTGTGGTGTCTTATGCTCCGGTCAACTTCTCACTCTATATATGTCTTTCCACTGTTGGTTTTGACCATGTTTTTGTTTCGGTTGACTCTAAATGGTCACAATCTTGTACATGACTCTTTCTCCTTCGATCAAGCCTTTTATCCCAGTCATCATCCTTCATTGGTTTTTATGTTGATGGATCAAAATCTCTTGTTCTGGTATATTGAAATAGAATAAGTTTAAAGGCCAACGAGAGCGATACTATAATCGGTATATATTAATAATAAAAAACGATCCGTTAATAAATCCAAACATGCAATTTTTCTTATTATTTCGGCAATAGGACTTAAATTTAAAAATTTTACTAATAAATTGAAGTGACGTTGCGATCATACGATACCTACAGACGGCTTCGCGTGTCAGGACGGACAATGTCTGCTCCACGAGCAGGTGTGCGATGGAGTGGAGCAGTGCAGTGATGGCGCTGATGAGAGGTTGTGTGGTGAGTGGCAATCATGATTGATGTGCGGAAATCTTGTCCAAGGTGACATCAAATGTGGATGATTTTATTCTAGCTATCATTTTCTAATACAGTATCATTTTTATAAAATTTCGTTCACTTTGCTTTAGACTAGGTTATGTCAGAAAAGCGATGGGTGCATAGAAAAATGATAATCATTTTCAAATGATTATCAATAAATGATATTCTAAAATGATAATCAGCCTTATATGTTGTGTTTTCGATAAAAATTTCAATTAAGTAGAATTTCCACAGCTTTATCCGCTAGTTTTTATCAGGACTGATAAAATAGCAAACACAAATTTATCAGTTAAAATTAAATATGTTCATGGATCTTGTTTAATTGTTTCCTTACATTTTCCCGTATCTAATTCATCCAAACATTTGTGTTCTTATTATTCATTCACACATTGTTGTTGCTATTGAACTCGTCCGCGTTTCTTCTGCTAAATGTTGGGTGTGCATTCGTTAGAGCGCCGCGAGCCCAACCAGCACTGCACGCAGCCTGGGCAGTTCAACTGCTCGGACGGCACCTACTGCATCACGTCCAAGTGGCTCTGCGATGGAGACGCCGACTGCAAGGATAATTCCGATGAAGAAAACTGCAAGTTCGTGACATCGCAATTCTCGTAGCTGCACAAATTTGGTTTAATTATGAAATTTTTATGAGTTAAGGACATTATAGTGAAATTGGATGCGTTTGGAAATGGTCACCACGAAACCATGTCCCATTAATTTGCATCCTTAAAATCCCATTTATTCCACCAATTGATACATTTAAATTTGAAGCAGTCATCAGAAATCTACGGCAATTGCGCCTAAAATTTCATTTACAAATAAATCCTAGACAGCCTAATCAGACACAACGTGGACGTTTCATAAATAAATCTACGGAAATAATTTCCCAACATTTAACCTTTTTGGGATCACTCCTCCAAATTACTTTTTTGCAATCACTCCTCCAAATTACTCTCAGTTGCAGGTACGGTACCTATATTATCATTGAATGATTTAATGTACAATTTTTCATCTGCGATTTCTTAACCCTTCACTATTCAGTGCATTTTGTCGTAAATTTTAAACGTATTTTGACATTTTGCAGTGAATGCGACCACAACCTTTTCTTCACTTGTCGTGACGGAACGTGCATCGAGTGGTCCTGGGTGTGCGACTCTACGAAGCACTGTCCCGACGGCTCCGACGAGAACACTTGCCGTACGTCTAATATCTTCGCACTAAAAGTCAAATTTACACCAAGTAATATTGATAAGATACTGAATTCCTGAATAAACATGCACTATATTCTCGAATTAGATATAGTTTAGTTTCTTTGTGATAGAAGAGGTACAATTTTTACTATAAGAGCTTAAACGAGAACACTTGCCGTACGTCTAACATCTCCGTACTAAAAGTCAAATTTACACCAAGTAATATTGATAAGATACAGAATTCGTGAATAAACATGCACTATATTCTCGAATTAGATATAGAATAGTTTGTTTGTGATAGATGAGGTACAATTTTTACTATAAGAGCTTTACCGAGAACACTTGCCGTACGTCAAACATCTTCGTACTAAAATTTATATTTACACCAAGTAATATTGATAAGATACAGAATTCACGAATAAACATGCACTATATTTTCGAATTAGACATAGAATTGTTTGTTGGTGATAGAAGAGGTACAATTTTTACTATACGGGTTCACCGAACCAAATAATAACAAATATCATTAACTGCAACACTGCTGTACAGACAGCGTAAGCACCCCGGTGTGCGGGACCGGGGAGCGGCCGTGTGGGCTCTCAGGGCCGTGTTTGAAAGAACGTTTCTGGTGCGACGGAAGGAATGACTGCGGCGACTGGCTGGACGAGGCACTTTGTGACAACGCCTCCTACTGCGCCGCCGACCACTTCAGGTGCCGTAGACTTGTTCTTTGATGCTTGGTGGTGATAGATATTGGGGCTTAACCCTCTACCGCCGTATGTTACTCTGCGGGAACATAACTTTCAATTTAAATTATACGTAAGCTATAGAATGTAGCAACCTGAAGACGTTTGTACACAACAGAGAATACTTTAAAGTTGTCGTACGTGGCAGCAACGATCAGTGCAAGTCATTTTGCGCTCACTAGAACGTATCCTTTTTTGGGAAGAAGGCTTGTGACAATATTGCTCCGGGTACTCATGTCAGGCGGTAGAGGGTTAATGATTGTTCTAGATATTTATGAGAAGGCTTGTGACGCTTGGGGGCCTTGTTGGTGGTTGCAGAACATGGCTGTGGAGGCTTATAGCTTGTTCTAGATCTAATCGAGCGCAACTCAAGTTTCATTATGGTTTATTGCTAGATGTAGATAGTTATTAGGTGGCTTATGAGAGGAAATTGCAAGAGCGTCGTAAAGAACTGAGGCTGAAAATTACTCAAAGCAGAAGATGACTTATGTCTTATAAAAGTAACTAATGGCTTAAATTGGTTCAAGGCTGTAAGATTTTTAGCCAACTTTCATTTCGTTATTTTTTATCTTATATTTTTTAAGTAAGATTATACTTTGAAAACTTTTTGGTATGGTATTCGACAGTTTTTGAGAATTCTCGTGTTCATGATTACATTGAATCCTTTATTTTTTAACGAAAATTGGTGTATCCTAAAAGTTTGAATCACTGGCGAACAAATAGCTGATGCTGTATAATACAAATGCTTCAAAAGACATGATATCACTTAAATTTGTGTTAAATACTTTTCATTGTTTCTTACAGCTATATGTAGGTATGAGTCAAGTCCCCTAGGAGACTGGGCTTGGATCACTGAATTCCGTAGTTATCTTGAATCACCTCAGTATGTTCAATCATTAGATTAATACGGCTAATCTCAGATCGCCAACAATGCGCCATTTCGGAGACTTTTTTCATTTTACAGCAACTTTAAAACTTTTACTGATTTCTATATGTCGAATGCGTAGATCCGCTGTAGGTACTTGATTATCAATTATTCTAATATTTGTATGATGTGAAATAGGCTGATCGATAAACTTTTTCTATTTCAGATGCGGCAACAAAGAATGTATTCAGAACGCGTGGGTTTGCGACGGCAGCGCCGACTGCCTGGGAGCGGAGGATGAGACGAACTGCACCCTCCCTGACCACTACCCTCCTCATGTACGTTTATCTTGTGTATACAACTGAAACGTTCATGACATGGGCTAAATTCCTGACCACATCCCTCCACATGTGCGTTTATCTTGTGTATACAACTGGAACGTTCATGACATGAGCTAAATTCCTGACCACATCCCTCCACATGTGCGTTTATCTCGTGTATACAACTGGAACGTTCATGACATGGGCTGTATCTCACCTATATATATTCTTGAATATATATTCCACCTATAGTATATTCGAGATTGTATATGTGTATTAATGACCATTTCCCTCCTCATGTGCGTTTATCTTTTTATATGCAACTGGAACGTTCATGACATGGGTTAACTGATGTGTATTCAGTAAATTTTCAGAAGGTTGACCAAAAAAGCCCGTCCTTGGTCCATTATACTCCATGAAGCTGCTAGAGAAGCTCATTTCTATGGCCGTGACGTGAACACAATGCACCAGTTAATTTAATGTTGGAGTCTGCCCTTAAATGTTGAAATCTACCCATAAATTATTTAATGTTGGAGTCTGCCCTTAAATGTTGAAGTCAACCCTTAAGTTATCTAATGTTGGAGTCTGCCCTCAAATTTTGAAGTCTACCTTCAAGTTATCTAATGCTGGAGTCAGCCCTCAAATGTTGAAGTCTACCCTCAAGTTATCTAACGTTGGAGTCTGCCCTCAAATGTTGAAGTCTACCCTCAAATTATCTAACGTTGGAGTCTGCCCTCAAATGTTGAAGTCTACCCTCAAGTTATCTAACGTTGGAGTCTGCCCTCAAATTCTTATTGTTTTTATGAGATCCTTTTCGGCGCTTTAAGAAGCCAGTTTATTGTGTATGCAGCAGGTAGACGACTGCCCTGACGACCACCTCATGTGTCTGACGAAGTGTGTACCGCCCGAGCACCTCTGTGACCGCAAGGCAGACTGCCTGCTGGGGGAGGACGAGTTCGGGTGTTCCTCTTTCACTTGTCCCCCCAGCAGCTTCAGGTGCAACTCCACGGGCGCCTGCATTGAGCTCGGGCAGGTCTGCGACGGTCGACAAGATTGTCTCCGGGGCGAAGGTGCGCTCAAAAAACTCCAAATAGAATTACGAAAAAATTCAAAATCTCTAGGTTCGAAAATTTAATAATGTATCTTCAATTCTGGCTCTAAGTCATCATTGCTCTTTTTTTAGATGAGCTGTACATTAACAGTCACTTATTTGTTGTCGGAGGTTATTTACTTACAGTTTGGTTTAGGAGACACATTTCTCTTGAATCTGTTTCCTTTTTCAATTCCCCCTATGTCCACTGAATTTTATTTCTTTTAATCTACTTTCAGTGTCTTTAGGCTTGTGTTTGTTTTGATTATTAAACTAATCTAAAATCGTGAATCATTTAGTATTTATGAATCATTCAGTATTTTTCATGTGGCGCCTCGTGCAGACGAGCGCGACTGTGAGCCCACGTCCTGCTCGTCTCTGCCGTGCTCCGAGAGCTGCGGCGTCAACCGCGAGGGGGCGGCGCGCTGTCTTTGCAGGCCAGGCTTCTCCCTCGCCCGCGACAACCGCACGTCAGTTACTTGCCTGCTACTTGCTTGTCTTATTCACTATTGCAGGACCGCACGTCAGTTGCCTGCCTGCTACTTGCTTGTCTTATTCACTATTGCAGGACCGCACGTCAGTTACTTGCCTGCTACTTGCTTGTCTTATTCACTATTGCAGGACCGCACGTCAGTTGCTAGCCTACTACTTGCTTGTCTTATTCACTATTGCAGGACCGCACGTCAGTTGCCTGCCTGCTACTTGCTTGTCTTATTCACTATTGCAGGACC